TATCTGCTGGGGATCCAGGATACCGCAAGATTGCCCATCGATGGTTTTTAGCACCATTCACACTAATTCCTTAACATGTGTTTTATTACGCATTTATCAGGCCAAGGTCGAACTTAATTTGAATGAGTGACACTCTTCACAATTCACTCAGCACGTGGCTGGCATGATCAAAGGTCTCTATACGAGCTCTGGTGTTGTCCCTGACTTAGCGTGGGAAGGTCGGTGCTAGCGTCAACTAGGGATCTAGTATCCTTATTTGAGTGGTTTCCTCTTTGTTACGGGCAAACGTAACACTATTCTTGTGCAGTGCTGCTACTTCGTTGCTAATCGGCGTTCAAACAACAGACGCCAACTGCGCAAAGGCAGCATAGGTGACACTTTTTTCCCCAAGAACCGGTGGTTGAATTGACCCAGGAAGTTTGCATAAACTACAATTCGCAGATAACTAGCAGACTAGCGATGTGGGAATGCGATGGGCAGAGAGACGTCTATTGGCTCCGGGCATGGCTGTCAGTTGGGTGCGAAAAAGCGACTAACGCTAATCAGATGTTGGTGGAGGGAGCATGTGAAATGGTACGTCACTGTGGGGGGAAGTAGGCATCATTGAGGACAATTAGCCTCGTGAGGTTAAGATGAGCAATTGTGATATTCACATAAGGCTTCGCGTTTCACCCAATTTCTGTAGCTTGAGCTCTGCTGTAGCCACACTGCTCTGCCTCCCACTGACAGCTCCCATCCGCGTTGATCCATCTAGGCTAGGCTGGGTTACTGGCCCTTTGGCTGGGCAAGGTGAAGGCTGGTCGTGTCAATATCTAGACGAACTGGACAGCGATTGATAAGGACGATGGTGTACTTCCATCGTCGTTGTGGATTGCCTGGAAGGTGGTGCGTGGGTCGAGTTAGTGAAACGTTCTCCTCACGAGGTCCTGTCTGTTGTCCTGCCACTGGGAATGCGGAGCTTGCGTTGGAAGAGGGCTTTGTGTATTGGAGTTGCGAGTGTGTGGTTTCGATTACTGGCAAACCGTAACCGTGTTAGAAACCGCGCACTCTTGCAAAACGACCCTCGATAAGTCGGATGTAGCCTTGGGCAATTTGGACACGTGGACGTTTCTGCACACAGGCGTTAGCTCTGTGGATACTTGAGAAAGCGGTGTTTTGTAAGTGGGCTGTGTTGACGTGGCTACTGTCGCGACTTGGTTTTTTTTCCAAACAGGTGTTCATCTGGACATGCGGGCGGATCTAGAGACAATGGTAGTGTTGCATGTTAACTAATAAGAAAATTGGCACAATCAGTGCTGACAGTCCTCGACATCCTGTAGAAGCAATTGATTTCTGGGTTTGAGGAAGTGGTTGGGCAGCGAATGCGTAGCGGGAGGTAATCCGGTATCAGATATCGATGTGTGTGGCCAAACAGAACCAAGGCAGTTTAGTATGCGACAGATAAAATGGCCTGAGGTTGGCCTTGGTTGCACCCAAATGTCATTTTGGTATTTGGTTGGTGATGGACAGCTGCACATTCGCTGTCAAAAACGGGCAAAGCCTGGTGATGGCTTCCACGTTCATCGAGGACGTCGCAACCACTAACTGCTCTCAGATACCCGCTTTGTAGTGAATCTGGTACCAGTGTGAGCATGTGGGCAGACCTCAAAACGAGGCCGTGTTGAAGGGATGGAGGAATGCAACAGGTTACTACGTATATGACGTAATTCGTTCGAATTGTTAAGCAAATTTATTTTGCATCGAAAAAACATCGAGTAGTAAACTTAACCTTGGAAACATTTTCCATTGTTTTCTATGACCTTGCGCTATCTCTGAGGTAACGTACGAATGCCGTCGTGCACTCTGCCATTCAGAGTGTTTATGTAACTCACGTAGTCTTATCGTTCGGAGTTTGTAAAACCTTGAGTCCGCCATAATGCTATTGTGTTGTTCCTTGGCGTGATGCGCTTTGCACGTTGTCGAGTTTTTGATTTTAGGTTAAGACAAGCCTCTACTACGATCTATTTTCGGACATGAATCTGGCGGAACAAGGAGTTTGCCCTTGCTGTAGTGATCTAGCGGGCAATGTCTGTTTCCACACTATGCACTTTAACGACAAGACCAGTAAATTGAGTTTAGAGGGATCGACATGATGGTGTTGTGCTGGTTTGGCTGTCTTTTTTGGTGACTGGAGCTTGGTCATGAAGGTAGCAGAAAATGACCTCTAAAAATGATTTCCAATTTGGCATTACAACCTCCTAGCACAGACAGATTGCTGAATTGGTGGTGGCGATGCCTGTTCGCGTCTTCTTGTGACGAAAGCTCACCAAAATATCTTGACCTGTAGTGGAGGCCTAGCATTTGACCGTCGTATAACTCCGTCCGGGGTCATTTTAGTTAGCATCGACTTCTGAAGCGTCTTTTCAACCATTCAACACCACGGACCCACTCGCAAGACCTCTTATCGGTGACTGCCATCACCACAGGTCCATTTTCTCACAACCTCTCGTCAATCGTCGTCTATTTTCGATGCTAAGACTCCGACTATTTGCTGAAATTCAGCGAACCGCAATTTAAACCATATCTCCGGCTGTAATTACCCTGGTAGTCGTAGTGTGTCGGTAGGACGCCGACCTCGTCTAAATGGGGTGTGCGTGTGTGTGTGTGTGGGTGGGTGTTTAATGTGTAATTAATCACCCCATCCACGGTGAACACATGTTTGCATTGCAAGAAACGCTATTTGCCTCCACTTCATCTGCCGCCTTGGACAGTGCGATCGTCCGCCGTGTGTTTTTCCGGCACTGTTTATTCGGCCACTTTAAATGCCTCCTCCTGGCCGAATCGCGCATCATTATGGAGGTTACTTTCTTTTCGCTGTATACTCAGCCCCACTTGTTGGCGAGTGGCATTTCACACGTGATGGCAAGTGGTATAAACAAGGCTTGTTGTTTACTTTGGCCAGACTACACGCCGAGGTCAGTTAAGACGGCAGGAAAAGCATGCGTGTTATTCTAAACGTGAAACATCAATTTAAAATCATGTGTTAAACAACGAATGAGAAGCACAAAAATGTCGTGGCAGGTGGCGCGTCCATGTATAAACCAACCAGCCTGTGTTAGAGGCTGTTGTTGAGGGCTGAGGCAGTGCTCGAATAGGCAGCGTCTTGTTGGTGAGTTGGTAGTATCTTGTATTCGCAGTTAAGTGAATTATAAATCAAGAAATTCGGTGTCTCCACTCTCTAACCTGCAATTTAGGTGACTTTGATAGTCTTCGGCTGTGGATTCGCCAATTTGTCTCCGCACTAAACGATTTTAGTTGTGGAAACAAAGGCGTTTCAGCATCAACTCTACCCCATCTCGATGGAGTTATTGAGCTCTGAGTATCGTTCAGCTTAAATCTACCTAATTTCAGTCAACATTCCCAGAATAAATTTTGTCTTTTGGAGCTATTCTTTTGGTATATGATAAATCATACGCAACAGCGGAAGTAGCATCTTTCATTGTGTCTGTTCTCTCCAAAATAGGCTTTAATTATCCTCTTTTTCACATCACCTTTGGTGTGGTCCGTGTAACCTTTCTCACGCTGCCAGACGGTCCTCTTTAGGCAATCCTGAAGCCGCTTTTGTAAACCCAAAACCATAAAGATATGTTCGTTCCCACAAACAACTTACACACACACACACACCTAACCATGTTTCAGATTCGTGATTACGCAGCCTCCGTAATCACCAACTCCTTTTTTTACGTATCAATCCTGGCCAATTTTTTTCGTTGTTCATCATTACTCTCACCCTCTTTGCCTTCACCAGTGTCTTGCTTGCGTTGTGGAAATATTGTCCATCGTTTTCCATGACTTTGCGCCATCTCTCCGGTAACGCACGAATGCCGTCGCCAAAGAAACTTGCAGGCTTCGAGGCAATCAAGTCATCATCGACTGATTTACGCGCATCGTCCTGCGTTTTGAACTGTTTAACCACTAAGGCGTGTTGCTGTTGCGTTAACCAGAACAAATAGAAGTCAGATGAGGCCAGGTCCGGTAAGAGAATCACTCATCCCAAGTTCAAGAGGGTCTTCTGAGTCGTGCGAGCAACCCAAGGTGGTCAAGCGTTGTCATGCAGCAGCAGCCGTTTGACTTACTTGCTTCTTTGCCCAGTAAATGGCCTTTTCCGATCGAGTCCTTTGGTCAATTTGCTCAGTTGTCGGCTGTAGTGTTCCGCACTCACTGCCAGCCAGCCAGTTCGCAGGGGTTCGTAATAGAGTACACCCTTCGTGCCCCACAGCTTACGTTTTTACGTTTGCTGTTGTCCGAGATCTACCCTCGACACCATTTTATGTTTGCTGTTGCTACCGGCGGGCAAGCAATGGAATGCATGTGTTCATACACTGACCTAACTTGTGTGTTTGGTCAGCACATGTAGGGCGACCCACCCAACTTCCAAGGTTATGAATTTTTCCCACTTGGTGGTGCAAACGCTTGGAAATAGGTGCTTGGGTGACTCCTGACTGAGCTGCTGCAAACTCTTGTTGCTCTCGCGTTGTGCCTTTATGCAGTAGAGCACGCGTTCCCGCATCTTCAAACATTCGAGGCTGCTGTCACTAAGATCGAATTTATCACTTCTAACGAAACTTTTGTACCAGTAATTCCACGTTTCATAAGACACAACGTCGGCAGCACCAAGACAACTACTAATTGAATTACACGTGGCTCAAAAGCACTTTTTTCCTTGTTGTAAGTCGTACCTAACCTAGTACCGTCGAATGTGCTGTTTATTAGTTGGCATCGCCTTAAACTTTGCTATTCTACGAGGTTATGCGACCTACGTACACCTGTCGTTCGGCATTGCGAAACATTGCGTCCGATCCCCTCGAAACCACAAAAGACCACAAAACATGCCTACTTTGATTGCAATGTTTGACTCAATGGAAAAATCTGTGAGACTTGCGTCATGCGTCTAGGAATTGCAGACTTGCACGATCTCACTGGATCACGAGGCAGCACCACACCATCTGCCACAAATCAGACTAGCTGCTGACGGAGGAAAGGAGGTTGGACTTACTGGGATCAGTTTGGCCTGCCAGGCTGACGGTGCTTTCGTAGAAGTCAGTGGGAATAACGGGCTCGGGGAGCTCACGAAGGAAGCGCTTAATGATTTGCGCCAACTTCACGAGCCTGTGCTCGGTGGACGTGGCGGCGGCGGCGGCAGCATTCGCCTCGAGCACAGTGGGCAGGCGGTTGGCGTAGGTCAGCTCGATGTCGTGCAGGTCCCTGCCCTCGGCCGAGGCGCGATACGTCTCCACGCAGTCCACCATGGCGACCTGTTGGCCGAGTCCGCGTTTGGCCTGTGTGGTCTCCTGGGCGTTGAAAATCGCCAACTGCTCAAATATGCGTGTAGCGGTGGAGAGGAAAACGGGCACGTTGTTGGAATCGGTGATCTGTGGGAGGGAGGGAGGGTGGGCGGAAAGTAAGACTGCCAGTGATTAAACGGGAAGCAGAATCCATGCTTAACTCTCAGTCACACGACGACGCGCATCTCTAGCTGACGGAAGTAGGCAGTGGATGAGGCAAGTTTTGTGCGGGAAAAAAGTGGGTTTTAACTGACCAATTTCAAGAGCCTAGCTAGTGTGCAAGCAGTGGCTTAAAATGGCAGGACATTACCATAGAATGTGTTGTTTGTCAGTTGCCATTTTAAGACCGGCCATTGTGAAAGGTTATGTATCTCACGTAGATTCCTCGTTCGGTGCTGTGAAGCCTTGCGTGCGATCTTTTCGATACCACAAAAGGCCACGAAGGCATTTCAATTTGAAAACAATTTTAGTCTCAAAGAAAAAATCCTTACAAATCAAGTCACGCACCTTGTATTTGCCACCCGTTGGTTGTGTTTGCTCATTAGGCTACGAGTGCTACGCAGAGCTGTTGGCCCAGTCTGGTGGCGGCGTTGGCTTGGCTACCAGACTGCCTCCACTCGCCAACGCCCCGTCGACCAGCCTCGACCCGCCCACGGCCCTCTCGATCGCCCGGAACAAGAAGGACCTTGAGGAACGCGACTGGTACTGGGGCGACATCTCGCGGTCAGAGGTCAGTGAGATCATGCTCGGTCAACCGGACGGTGCCTTCCTCGTGCGTGACGCCTCCGCGGGCTCAGCGAGCGCCTTCACTCTCACCGAAAGGCACGTGATCCGTTGTTTTTCCTGCTGATTGGTGCAAAGAACGGATAAGAAACAGGTTTGGACAACTTGGGGGGTCTTTGACGCGACCTGGTCGTCGAATCACTGGCGTTTTCGGCTAGGAGGTTCTTCGGTGGAATCCCTGACTAGTTCCACCTCGAGCATGGGCGCTGAGGTTTCCCAAATCGCCATGCAGTTCGGGTATAGTGCAGTTAGCTAGCTTTGTTTTCCCGTGCATTAAACCAGTGTCCTGTGCGCCTGTCAACCTGTCAATTCTGCTTGGTGAATTAGCTCGTTTGCATTTACTAACGCGATTACTTTAATGCATCCTCGTCCAAATGTCAAGATGGTGATTATTCTTAATGAATTCCTGCTGCCTTACAACCGTGGTGATGGTGGCTACTATTAGCCAACACCTGCATGGTGTTTCGCGTGTGTTATTTTAAGTGTCCGGTATTTAGACCGCAGGAAGGCGTCGGTTATAAATAGATGGGCGTTAGCCGGAGTCAAGTGGGATGACACGCGTACACTGATTGCGGTGTTGGCATTGTGTCTCACCCCAGGGTCACCATGAAGTCATGTGCTCGCAGAAGCCGATTGTCGAATTCGCCCTCTGGGCCGAGTCTGGCTGTTTTGCTTAAAGGCCGTGTGACGTGTTTGTGAAACTCCCTCAGTGAACTTACGAGGTGACAGAAGCGAATGCCAAGTCTTATCGCCGTGAATGCAATAACAAGGCCTTTATCTAGGCGCTGTGTACCTGCCTCACGTCGGTGCACACGTAAATAATGCACCACGGCACTGACGCACTGCAGTTGTTTTGTTCACGCAAACCTCTTCCCGGTTGTAGCAGGGTTCATTTTAAGCCCCTCAAAGAGCCTAGTTATTTTTTGGCCTCGCAATAAAAGCCAAACTCCTGTTTTCTATCAAATCGAAATACTACTTGTCAAAAATAGCCGTTTTGGGGGGCGGGGGCGGGTTGGGTGTTAAACGCATCATCCTTAAACCGACCGGGCGTTTTCGCGTGACAGTAAAACTCTACTTCAACACGCCGGGGGCTAAACCTTTAAGGGAGGCTGTCATTTGCCCACATTACCCTGCATCTCAGAGACGTTATCTCACAAGACTCAAGTGAGATCTAGTCAATGCAACGCAGACCAGCCAATCGGCATGAGTAGAAATGGCGTTAAGTAATGCCGTAGTTAATCCTGCCGAAGTCGTTAGGATATGGAATCCGCGTTGTTTCAGGGCAAGGAAAGCTCTCATGAGGGCGAATCTTCGGTCAATCAGATCGGTTTTTAACGTGATAATTATAATCATAAGTCAACCCTCCGACATTTGCGTGGATTTACATGCGAAATCAGCATATTTTTGTGTGAGCTTTCTCAGGGGTGGTTTCCTGAATCCCTGCTACGGCTTTAGTTCTTAATGGGGCCCGTCTGTGTTGCCAGTAATGCTTAACTTGTTACCCCAGTCATCTGTTTTGCGCATAAACCGCACTGAAAAGCACGCAAATCGTGCTCGATTTAATTAATACAGCGTTAAGTTAGATAGCTGTCCATTGCGTCAGTTTTACCCGTCATTCTAGTCTCGAACAGGGCTGTTTTTGCCGCCAATCGAAAACGGGCAATGCAACTGGCCGCGGAGGCGTCGTGATCGAACGAGATCCACGGTCGCACATGCCGACGCGTGCCGGCGTGCTCGCATGTTCGCTTTGAAGTTGCTGAATGCTCGCTAAGGCGTGTTGTCGTAACCCCAGTCAAGCAGTAGGACTTGGATGAAGCCGGAATACCTGGGCTGGGCAGGCGCTGTCTTTATTTTTAGCACTCCTGCCCCCAAAAGAGCCACCACGCGCTGTCAAAACGCCCTGCGCGTCTGGTAGTATTGTCGTTGAAAGGAAAATGCAGTTCTTTTGGTAATCAGCCGCTTACATGCCCCCTAGCAGTCAATTTTAAGGGATTCTGATCTCGGCTTTTGCCCGAGTCAACTCAAATAGACCAGCTAAACCTCTCGCTCTTAGACAAACACGTTTCCCTTCCTGTTTACCGTGATATTGTGAAAGTACACTCTTCAGATGGGTCCATTCCACTTCCTATTCACCGATTCCCAACGTGTCTGTTAGCTTGCCACGTGGTCATTTGTTTGTTTTGGTGAACGTGACTTTCGCTCGTTTAAAGACTTCGAGGACAAATGGTTTCATGAATTATGCTAAATAGACAAGCAAGTATTGTGGGGAGTCCTTGACACGCGTTTACTTATTCATTAAGACAAAGGCTTGTGTCATACCCAAGGATCCTTTTCAATAAACACACATTTACGCCGTGGTTTGGTCTGCGGTATTTCTGTTACATAGTGGCATCCCATCTCTGTCTGTGTGCGTTCGACTTCTTACAGTAATACATTGTAGTGTGTGAGGGAAGTTTTGCCTGATAGATGGTGTGTGTGCGTGCTTCGCATGGCGTAGAGTGGACACTTAAACTTCTTCTTTTGCGTTTCATTTGCTTCAACAACAGGCGCAACTTCACCACAATCCTCTTCCGGATCTACCACCGAGGCGACGTCTTCGACATTACCAACCCCCCCTCGCCGGGCTTCCCTCTGGTCTCGAGTCTGGTAGCGCACTACCAGCAGCAGGGGGCGCTCACGGGCGTCGAGGTGCCCACCCCGCGTCTCCTGCATCCCGTCACCCGCCGCAACTTCATCGACCTGCCACCCTCGCATCTCGCCTCGGCGGCCAGTTCCGGCCAAATTGTCCAGGGCCTCCTGGCTGCCCTCAAAAACACCTCCGTTGAACTGACTCGCTTCCAGGTGCAGGTGAGGCTGGAGTTTCCCTTCCAACTGCGCTCCACTCCAAAAAAAACCTACCTTAAACAACGCCATTCCGATATAAGGAAAGCCTTCAACTCCCAAACGCCAAGGAGTAGGTAAAGGGGGGAATCGGTCAGTGATTAGGTCCATCGATTATTGTAATAAGGTCGCCCTCGTTTTCTTGTTGACTTGATTCAAATAAACGCAAGCCTTGAGTGTTCTTGTTGAAACAAATGGATGAACTAAAGATGGCAAATGATTTGACCTTTGTGGAAATGAGTCTTGCATTGTCTGGTCGGTATGACACGAATCTGGCTGAACTTGACTCGGGACTTCTTAAACAACTTGGTCGGTCACTCTCTGCCATATCTCGAATCCAGCCAAACACTTAAAGACTCGCTGTACTTATCCGCCGCCGAATTCGTGTAACTGCAATTTAACTTCTCCATTTAATTACTGAACTTTGCAGTGTGGCAGAAAGACAGGAGGTAGAGTTGTTGAGGGGAATGTGTTTACGCGTCACCTCGTTTGATCTTCCTTAAGGTGTCCGATGTGAACCGGAAATTGACCGAGCTGATACACAAGATGGCCACCACGACAAACCAGATGCGTGCTCTTGGCCTGGCGCAGGACTGGCTGGTGAAGACGAACTACCAGTTTTCGCGCAACCAACAGGCTCTCCCTGGCGTCAGGTAACAGCGAATTCTTCCTCTGCCTGTGTGCGCTTTTTCTTCTTCTACGCGTGAGCTTAGTTCTGCGGTGCGTCTGCCATGCGTGGGAGCCGAACCGATTTCCTTGTTCACACCCGAGCAGCCACGCTGAGGCAGTTGAGTGTAACGTCGTCGTCGTGGTTGTCGGCGGTTCCACTTGGATGCAAACTCCGCGCCTTGTGTTGTGGTGTTTAAGTGAAAACTAAAACCTTATTCAAATTAATGCTGCACTCAAAGCTACTCCTCTAAGCTAAATCTGGCACCATGCCAGCAAAACGGCACTTCCGCCAATCAGATGTTCTCTCAGTGTTGAATTGTTCACGTTGGTCAGGTCTGCGAATGTACGCTTCATCGAACCTTAACTGCAGTTTGAAGCCAACACAATCTTTTTCTTCCTTGAGAGTCTATTTATCTGGCGCAGAAAATGGTTGTTTCATCGCTTCATCAGTATTCGTCTTTATTGAGCAACAAACGACTGTGTTCCTTTCATCTCATGAATAATTCCTCTGCAGGCCTTGCCCCATCGGTTGGGGGAGATCGTTTGTGTAGGCCAATAATTTGCTTTTATGTTCTTCATGCTCATTGGCGTCAGAATTTCCTTGGCATGAGACCTCGACTAAGCAAAACCGTAATTCCAGCGTTTGCTGGTTGTAGTCAGGACGCCCTGGCAAAGTACGTGTCCATCTTCGAGAAGCGTCTGGCGTGGACTCGTGCCACGCGTCTGGAGAAACGGCGCCAGCACAACTCCCTCCTCGACCGCACACGCCAGGTCTCCGAGAGCCAGGTCGTGCTGTGCTCGAAACAACACCAAGTCAGCCGTCGGATGCAGGAGATTCGGCGTGAGTTGAAGCGTCGCGGAGTCTCCGACGAGGTCATCATCGCCTTCGACACGGTTGTCACGGACGGGGCGCCTTCACAGCCGCCGCCACCGTCGACGGCGGTGGTGCCTGCGTCCGACGGCCATCCCACCAGTCTGAAACGGAGTGATTGGTTCGCGGACGTCTCGAGACAACTGGCTGAGAGCATCTTGTCCAACAAACCCTCGGGCACCTTCCTCATTCGACCCTCGGCCGTCCCTAATCGGTTCGCGCTCTCTGTCAGGTTCGTGTCTCAAAATCACCAAACCGGATTGTACCCTTCCATAACCATTTTGGTAACTTGTAAAGCGTATTTGCGAGAATTCGGAAAACTCTGGAAGAGGATTGGATCTTCGGAGTTTACCGATCAGTCAACTTCCCGTCTAACCTAAATTTCTTCACGCCCAACTACTCTGCTCATGATTAATGGGTGAGCGTGTCATGTTTTAGTCAGCACTCAGATGCAGATCCGTTTCCTGTTGTCGGATCCCGGTGTAAGACGTCGTGGCGCGCTTCACTGCTACTGATGGCTTTTTGTTTGATTCAAGAACGGGCACGAGTATCCAGCACTGCCTCATCTACTGCTTGCACAACCGCTACGGCTTCTCCGAGTCGTCGCTGCCGTTTCTCTCCCTCGAGGAGTTGGTGGCGCACTACCGGGTGTCTAGTCTGGCACAGCACAACGCCCTCCTCGACACCACCCTCACTCTACCCGCCTTCGCCCCCTCGTCTCCGCCCTAGTCCCGTGGGTGGCCCCGCGCGCTTTGTGATCACTTCTTGTGCGTCAACATTGGACAATGACGCTGCTTCCGGTGGAGTTTACAACCAACGCAAAACCCCGCAGATGGTGTGCTTTGTGAACGAAAGTCGAGAATGTGATTTGACCTATTTTTTGTCTCACCCCTCTTCCTCTCTCCTTGCTCGAAATAAAGCCAAACCGGTGTGTTCTTTTCGCACTAGTAGCTTTCGAAACAGAATTGGCAGGTGCAGTGAATGCACCCTCAGGGTTCACGTAAATACTCCTTTCGAGAACCCGCTTTAATCGTTTGTAGTAGCACAACCTCTGGACCAGTGATGACCTTGCAAACATCAGTGGCTGACGTAATTTTTACGGATTCTTCACAAAGAAATAGAGAACAATGAACTCAACCTTGCAAATATTGTCCATAGTTTTCCATGAACTGGCGCCATCTCTCAGGTAACGCACGAATGCCGTCGCCAAAGAAACTTGCAGGCTTCGAGGCAATCAAGCCATCATCTACTGATTTACGCGAATCGTCCTGTGTTTTGAACTGTTTAACCACTAAGGCGTGTTGCTGTTGCATTAACCGGAACAAATAGAAGTCAGATGAGGCCAGGTCTGGTAGATATGCCGCGTGTGGGAAAAATTCCCATCCCAAATTCAAGGGGGTCTTCTGAGTCGCGCGAGCGACCTCTGGTGGTCAAGCATTGGCATGCAGCAGCAGCGGACGTATGACTTGGCTGCTTTC